GACTCCAAGATCCTTTTCTGCCTCTGCACCGATGAGAAGGGAGTTCCGTAGCCTGTAGGTCTGGTACTGGGTCTTCCTCCCCAGGTGCATCACCTTGCACTTGTCAGTGTTGATTCCCATCCTATTCTCATCCACCCACCCCTGTAACCTGTCTAGGTCCGATTGCAGCTTATTCCTCCCTTCTAGCGTGCCCACATCCCCCCACATCTTAGTGTGAACAGCAAATTTGAGCAGGGTGCTTTCTACCCCCTCGTCCAAGTCACTGATGAAGACATTGAACAGTGCGGGCCTGAGGACCGAGCCCTGTGGAACCCCACTGCCCACATCCCTCCAAGTCGAAAATGACCCATCCACCACCACTCTCTGGGTGCAGCCCTCCAGCCAGTTGGCGACTCAGTTGACTGTGTGAGTGTCGACACCACAGTCCCCCAGTTTCTTAATGAGAACGGGGTGAGAGACAGTGTCAAAGGCCTTCCAAAAGTCCAGGAAGACTATGTCCACTGCTACCCCTGCATCTAAGGATTTGGTGATCTGATCATAGAAGGCCACCAGGTTGGTCTGACAGGAATTTTGTGGCACTACAAATGGATTGCACATTTGTATTCTCATATTTCATAACATTACAAGGGCTTTTGTATCTCTATAAATATAATGTCTGTCCATCACCTTAAACAGCCTCCTTGTGTGTTGGTTAGAGTGACTTTGGCTATAGGTATAACTTTATTGTTAGTGTCAAATATTTTAGAGTAACATGAAGGGAAAATATAATACTGAATTATCTGTTCATTCTGGTCTTTGGCATGACTATAAATGAGAGAAAGAGCTACTTGGAAATCCACAGATCAGTCGGTTACTTAACCTTGATCCATTTCTCAGTAATTCTTTAACTTATACCTGGCTATCTCCTGGAGTGACCATAAGGGACAATATGCAAATTATGACCTTACAGAATGAAAACATATACCTGGGATGGCATGAATTATTCAGTTTTGAAAAATAAGTCAATGGTAGAGGTAAATATTAGAAAGTAAGAATTTGTTTCCAGTAACTGTGATAAGTTCCTGCCTCTTAGAGTGTAATTGCTTCTTCATTAACAAATGCTGTTTTGAGATCCTGTGCTGCCAGTTGCGAGATGTTTGACACTGCAGTGGTTTCTTTTCCTTAGGGTGACCGGGGACCAGCTGGTGCACCAGGAGTATCAGGGATACAAGTGAGTATTACTTAAAGAAATATATTACTTAAGGAAATATATTTGGGGGGAAAGTTGAAATAATCTGAAATCAAGACAAATGCTCATATGCATTATTAATTCCCATGTCTGGCGTGCCAGTAGTAGGGTAGGCACTTTATGAACAGTTATGAAAATAAGGTCCTTTCCCAAAGAGATTACAGCCTTATTAATATCAAGCCATAGTTTTATGATTGAAATGATAAAAGAGTGAACTAAATATGTGACACAGGTTGAAATTCAAGAGTGTTTCTACTAAGTCAAAACATCATATGAGACTCTTCAGAACCTCTTCCATTTATTAAAGAAAAGTAAGGTGTCATTTAATATATTCTTGGACATGTATAAATCTTGTGCTCTTTGAAAAATCTTGACAGTTATTTCCTTTAGGATTTACATAAAAAGTCTATCAGACATTTTTAGTGCCAAATTACAGTGAGTGTTTTTCCTGGCTATTAATCTGTTGACATGGACAAAGTGTCTGAAAGACATTTGAGTTCACAGAAGCCATCCAGAATCTCTGTTGCAGGTAAGATTAAAAGTAACCATGACAATAAACTGAAGTTTAACTGCTCATACATGTTCTTACAAGACATAAAATGCTACTTTTCTTTAGATTACAATTGCAGTTGACTAAAATAGAGTGGTTTGGCTATTCAACAGACAGTATGATAATAGAGTAATTTATATGCAAATGTATTATTCTTAAATGTGGCTAATTTCCAACCAGATCAGGAACTGGTTTGTTGTTGTTATTGTTTGGTTTATTTTAATTATGAATGCATGCTTTATGAATCAAAGAGAGGTTGATATCTGTCTAGTCAGGTTCCATTAACCAATATTTCAACACATTTACTATAGGTTTCAAGCGAAGGAGAAAGTTAAATAGTTCAATTTGTTAAACATCCCTAAAATAAAGTTAAAAGTGCATGTTAAAAGAATAAGACTACATTTTTTTGTGTCTACAAGTTAGTCTAAAAGCTTCAAAGCATGGTACTTAAAATCACAACTGATGTTATATTGAACATTATAAATCCATAATACTGTAACCAGTTAGGCTTGTCATAGTTGTTCACTTCCTGTGGATTTCCCCTGGGTTACATCCAAAATTTTGTTTCTGTTTAAGGCATTGTTCCAAATGCTGGGTGAATATAAAATATTTAATGTGTTCATTTTAGCCCTATTGTAAACCATTCCACTACTATGTTTTTAGTCCACGGTTCTGTACAATAAATTATTTCCTTTAACATTTTGTGATAAAAAGTGTTTATAAATAAATTCACAGGCCAATGTCAGATTCATTAGAGCAGTAATTATGGATCTTTTTAGGCTCAAGGCACCCCTTGGAAAATGTCAGCTCTTAGTTTTCACTCTTTTTTGACTAGGGAAAAATAATACAGCAGTTTGCCTATTGCAAGGAATTCCAGGGCTACACACAGACATTACGCATAAACCTGTTTCAGTGATCAGAAACTGGTTTAAACCTGTAACAAAACAGATGTTCAGTGCACATAAACCAGTTTGTGAATGGCTGAAAACAGTTTGAGATAAACCTGGTTGAATATAGTATCATTCACAACTGATTTGGCTGAAACCGGCTTATGCAGTGTCTGTCCCAGACCCCTTGCTGGTTTAAGATAAATCAGACTCCCCCAGCATGCTGGCATGCTCTTGGTCTGGGTCGGGCTCTCTGATCCACAGCAGAGCTGGCCTTTCCCCTCTGCTCTCTAGCCAGGGCAGGGGTAGTTCAGACCCCTGGTCAGACACTGGCCTGCCATGGCCCCTATGGCAAATTTCTCCATCCATCCCCTCTCCCCTCCCCCTCCCTTTGCTGGCAAACCCTGGGGACTGCAGCTGTTGTTTGCCAGCCCCAGCCATACCTCCATAACTCCCTCTGTCCCCTCTCTCCCCTGGAATGCAGGACTTTGGCTGCAGTTCGTGTGGCTTACACAGCGGTCCTGGAGCAAATGTGTGTGCAGATCCAAGCTGTGCTGCAGCTTTGAGCCCAGAGCTAAGGCTTGCAGGATCAGACTGAAAGGTGGAAAGGGTTGGCAAAGACATGACAATCATTCGTCAGTGATCACGCATGCTGGAGATTTAGTTAAGAGAAGTTGCACCAAAAAATGCAGCGAGCTACATTTAGCAGAACATGTAAACATGAAGCAGAACATGTAAACAAAGCTTTTCTAAATGTGTGGCTGTAAAGAGACACACTGCCCTCAGGATTAGTAAAACTAATTCTTGTCTTTCTGGTTTACATTTTAAGTTGGACAAAGTTGTGTATGCTGTGTTCTGCTGGGCTGTATCTTAGCTTAGGCAAAGATTATTGATAGTTCCCTGTTGTATGTTTTGCAAATTGCTGTGTTCCTGGCTGGTGCCTGGCCACGCTCCTTATGCTCCAGCAGGGAGAGGCCAGAGCCTTGGACGGTCTCTCTCTTCCCTCCCTTGCAGCAGTGGCTGGCAGGCATGCTCTAGCACCCCCCAGCTTCTGGTTTGAGCCACTGCAGGCATGTGCCTGCATTTCCTTGTTTAATAGAGCATGTCTGTCCAGCTATTAATCGGTTTAAGATGCACATCTAAGACTAACCTGCAAAGAGTGAATCAATTCAGTCTTGGGCTTTTTGAATATCTGTCCCTAGCCCAGGAGACCATAAGTCTGATTTTTTTTAATAGTATGGATTCTTATTTAAAATCATTGGGTTTATCTTGTCAATTATGTTTTCTCACCTAACGTATGACGTCCTGTAGCACCCCTTGAAGGATCTGAAGGTACCCCAGGGTGCCACAGCATCATGGTTGAGAATCATTGCACTAGAGTTTTGTAGTTCAGGAATAGTTTGGAGAGTTCTTTGGGGAGTTTGAATCTAAGAGGAGATTTGTACTTTTTACCTAACAGGGAGGATGTGTTGAGTGAGGTTCCTCAGGGGGACCGTCGTGGGTCCAACATTGTTTAAAATCTTCAGTCATGATTTGGAGGTTGGGATTGATTGTACACTTACCAGATATGCAGATGACATCGAGTTGGGTGGATTTGTAGACATTCTGAAGGATTTCTCCACCATGATTCAGAATGACCTTGATAAACTTGAGAAATGATCCAAAATCAATCAAATTAAATTTAGTAAGGATAAGTGCAAAGTCTTGCACTTAGGACACAACAATAACAAGTACAAATACAGACCTGGGAATGCCAGGCTAGACTCCAGTATGGCAGAAAAGGAATTGGAGGTTGTGGTACATCATAAGCTGCATATGAGCCAACAGTGTGCTCTTGTTGCAAGAAAAAGAGTGTCCACTAGCATATTAATAAGACCATCTTCTGCATAGCAAGAGAAATAAATCTCCTGTTCTCTGCAGTACTGGTAAGGCCTTACCTGAGTACTTTGTCCAAGTTTAGCCCCTTTCTTCAGATAAAGAGGTAGACAAATCAGAAAGATTCTAGGAGGAAACATTATTTACAAGGAAAGTCTAAAAGACTATTTGCCTGTAGACAAGGGACTGGATAAAATCTAATTAATATAAGCAACTGCTTTTTAAGTGCTTTATGCAACATATTCTTGAAAATTCTCTTAACACATTAACTCAAAAGTGAGTTACATGTATTTTTAAACCAAATACGGATTATACGTCATGCTTGATCTGAAGAAAATTGCTATTTTGCTGGTGGGGCAATTTGTATTTTAAATCTTTCTCTTTGATCTCCTTTGACAGGGAAAGCCTGGATCCCCAGGGCCTCCTGGGATACCAGGGGAACCAGTAAGTGCAAGTTTGAATTCTGGCATATTGTGTTTTAGTGTTGTTCATTGTAGCCATGCTGGTCTAAGGACATAGGCAGACAATGTTCTTTGGGTAGATGTGATATCTTTTATTATTTATCTAATAATCATCTTTTATTATTTATCTAATAAAAGATATCACATCTACCCAAAGAACCTTGTTGGCATATTATGTTGACACTCATGTTTTAAATACAAAATGGAAAACCCTGTTTATGCTTATGTGTGTGTTCTTTATTAGGGTGAAAGAGGCCCTGTGGGAGACATCGGATTTCCTGGGCCAGAAGGGCCTCCTGGAAAACCAGTAAGTAATTAACTACTGAATAAGTGTGTGAAAAAAATTCATTGAAAAAATAGAGGCACAACTTTGCTCAATATTTCAGTAGGAAACCTTCATAGAGCATACAGTGCTGTAGGTCCAGGTATTGCTTGTGCAGCGAGTTCTTGCTGAATGAGGGCCTTGAATGCTGAGGTTCAAGTAGTAAATCCAAAGGACCTCCCAGAATTATTTGAGAGTAGGCATGTCATTCCAAATGTTCAATACAATCTATAGAAGATGGAATTCCTAAGGTCTTTGTAATGTGAGATCAGTTACAGAGTGTTTGACTCATGGTTTATCATTTGTAGGTTGCAAGTGCAATATTGTTGCTATAATGTACTGCTTTTTACTGCATAGATAAGTGGCTCTTCTCTATGTTCTTAACAGGCAGATTTTCAAAAGTAACTAGAACATCCCAAATAGACATTTAAATGGAAAGGACAGGCTTCAAAAGCTGTTTGTGAATGGTGTTTGTCTGTTCTCATGGGGGACTGGTAAGGGCTTAGCATCTGTGGAAAGGACCATCAGATACTTAAATCAGTTGTGCCCTTCCAAAACACTGTAAAGCAGTGGTGTTAAACTCCCCTAGGGAGTTTCTTATTTTAACTTAAAAATAGATGTTAATCTTTTTGGCCAGGAGGAGATATGATTTACAAGGAAATTCTACAAAACTATTTGCCTGTAGACAAGGGACTGGATAAAATCTAAAGCCAGGTTCTCTTTCAGTTCTTTATTAATGTTTATTTAACACAGTGGTCACCAACCAGTAGATCTTGAAGCCTCTTGTGGTAAATCTCAGAGCCTCTTGGAGTCAATCCCAGGCTAGGGTGGGGGGCTGAGTGCCTGCATGCATGCACACATGTGCCCCAGCCCAGCAGGTCAGTCTGTTGGGGAGGGAAGGGATGGGGCTAGATCAAGGCCCCTGTGGTGAGCCACAATGTCACAGAGGCAGGAGCAGGGGTAAGTTGAGTGGGGCCCCAGCTGTGTGGGACTTACCTGCTTGGGAGGCACACCCCCAAATAATTTTTTCTCCTTCTGCCTCCTCCCACCCCCACCCCTCCCCACAGACTTACCTGCTGGGTGGGTGGTAGTGGTACACAGTAGATCTTGGCTTACTTTTAAATGCCAACGGTGATTTCCTACTTAAAAAAGTTGGAGACCACTGGTTTAACAGGAAGATCACAGCTGGGTTTTCAGACCATAGATAGAGTCTAATAGGCTGGCAGAGGCCCCACAAGTGAAAATATGTAAGTTGAACAAGCACTCAAGTGGAACAAGTGAAGGAAAATAAATATAGAACCTCTATAGAGCACTTACTCTCTTTCTCTGCCTTCTACTCCAAATTTGCCCACAAAATCACATAAAAATCCATACCATTAGGCTAGGGACAAACATTCAAAAAGCCTGAGCCTGAATTGATTCAGTCTTTGCAGTTTAGTTTTCTAAAGTGCTGAGCGGTGGAGGGGTGTAGCCAGGCCCCAGCAGGATGCTTTGATTAGCATCATCCCAGGCTATTACCTGCTCCATCCCAGGCTTTTACCTGCTCACTGCTCAAGGGGGAGGAATGTTGCCAGACCCTGCATCTGTTGGTGATACTGAGCTTTTCAATCTCCCTCTCCTTGCATACTGTCTGCAAACCAGGTCACTTCTGAAACCTTTATCTGTCCCCTCTTGAAGACTGACAGATTGCAGCCAGCAGGTAGCTTGTCAGAACAAAGTTTATCAGCCCATCAAGCCCTACAGAAGAAAACATCTCTCTCATTCGTTTCAAGGTCATCTTATCTGCAGGTTGCTTTTGCATTTGCGTGCTACTAGCTGTCTGCCTTTATGCCAGTGAAATTGGAGACCCACACAGACATCTCTCAGCATTAGCTAGCATTGGTGGGGGGCATGGCCAGATGCCGGTTCCCTGGGCTGGGGTCCCTGCTGTGGGAAAGGGGCAGGATGGGGGATCTCTGCTTTAGCAGCCAGCAGAAAGTGGTGGGGAAGGGGAGGGGGAGGCAGGGGGAAGCCTGGCAGATTCTGCCGTCCCTCAGCCAGCTGGACCAGTGATAGTGCTCTGGCTCGTAAGGAGAGGGGTGGGGCCAACCCTGCTGTGCTCTAGCAGTCAGCCCAGCCCAGGGCTACAAAGCAGCTGGGATGCTGGGGCTCTGTGATTTAACTTAAACCAGGAAAGGGTCTGGGACAGACATTGCATAAAATGGTTTGAGACAAATCAGTTAAGTCCAATACTACATTCAATAAGTTTTATCTTAAACCAGTTTCAGCCATTTTGAAACTGGTTTATGTGCACTGAATTTACATTCTATTACATGTTTAAACCAGTTTCTGATCATTTAAACCAGTTTATGTATAACTTCTGTCCCTAGCCTTTGTGCGAGTTCTGCTAGTCCCCTGTTCCATTGGGAGCAAAATGAATCTAAAGAGAAACAGATATATTCCTCATCTGTCTCAACCTGACTAACGTCTCTCCACCAAACAATTATTAAATAAGTCCAGTTCTTGTGGAATGGCATTTCACAGTGTGCAGACTCAGTGACTCTGCTGTAGCTTGGGCTCTCCATGGCTGTGTGTGGAAGAGTCTGAATTTGTCCCAATGCACTGAAAATATTTCCAGTTTATATGGAACGATACAGTACTTCATTTGGTTTATCGGTTTATCCTTACCTTCCCTTTCTAGATTTGCCTTGAAAGCTCTAGCATTTAGGGACATTAAAATATATATGCCAGATTTTAATGACTATGTATGGAAGTGCAGTGGAAATGTGTATCCATATCCACAGAACCCAGTCTGTTGAATTCCCAACTCAGTTGTCTGTCTTTGAATGGTCATGGACTAACTAAAGTATTTTTTCATTATTTGTATCATCTGTAGTCAGATTTAGCATGTCCTGGCATCTCAGCTTTATCCCATACTCTCTTATTTTTCACTCCCAGGCCTGTATACCTATTTTTAGCTAGGTCAAAACTTTGGCTACACAAGCTATTAATTCTGCTATTTCTTTTACAATATTTGTTTATTTTAAATTCTGTAATAGATCATGAACTTCTCCTGTTCTTGTGACTTTATTTTTAATATATTTATGTACCCTCAGTTATAACAAAATATTATTGTTTTTATAGGGAATCAATGGAAAGGATGGATTTCCAGGTCCTCCGGTAGGAAATTACTATTTGGAATGTTAATATATTACATTTTTTAATGATGATATAACTGTTAGTCCCAGACAATTGCCTTCCATAGACTTAATGGGAAAATGTCTAAGCAAATGTTTAAGCAAAGTATTTTACTTTTTCAAAAACTATTTTAACAGGGTCCACTTGGAAGACCTGGAGACAGAGGTGCCAAAGGAGAAAGAGTAAGTCCTGGTCTAATATGCCTATCAAGAACTATTTGGTTTTTTATTTGGTTTGTTGCATTATCTAACATATTTTAAAAATCAAACCTATAAATAAAAAATTGACTTTTTAACTTTTTTTTATTCAGGCAAATATAGAAACAAAGCTCCAGCACTGTAGTAGTACACAGGAATTGCATGAGGTTGAAGTTGTTACATAATTACAAAATAAAAAACATATACAATATTTCTTATAACCTAGCTTCTACATTTACAATATAACAGTTTTATATATATACATATTAGTAATATTCATTAATATTCAAAGAATCTATCTAGAGGCTCAGGCATACCTCTTTATAATATCAGTGGCCGTGGTCACTGCAGTCCCTCAATACAAGGATAACAGTCTTCCAGTAGATAGGGAAGTTATAGTTTCATAGTTTCATAGTTGGTAGGGTTGGAAAGGAC